AGCAGAGAAACTAGCAAAGCCTATGTGTTGAGATTCACACTGCACCAAAATATTACCAACATGACAATGTGTTCCTCAAGCAGTGGGGCCCAGATTCTCACACTAGTGTCCACTTTGAGATGAAGCAACAAAAACTGATGTAGATATTACAGCAGGCAATCTAGGCGGTCTAGCTAACATTAAGTAATAAAGGTGGTTCTATTAATGAACTGATTTTCAGTGTAGATCAACTATTACATTAGAATACATCATTTACTACTTTCATAGTCAACACCTACTTGAAAGCTTCAAAAGACAGGCTGACTCTTTGTGGGTACTAGTGATTTTAAATGTAGCTAGTGTTTTAAGTTAAAGGGGATGTTCATCTACCATTCCAAAACTAGAGAGTTTTCAATAGAATTACACTGACTATTTTCCATATGTACTCTACAAAAGGAATGATGCCGTCTAGATGACAGCATATCTGTTTATTGTTAAGACTTACAGAATATATTAGGAACAACTGTTGAGACTATAGTTCAGTGAAAACAATTCCTTTCAAAATATCCAATCTGGGCACCAAAGTGTTGTAATTGGAGATATATGTTTTCTTCATACCTAACATAGCACCCAATCTACAGCCCAGGGGTCAAGGAGTTATTTTGAGTTTCAAGCTTTATTATTTAGGAAATACATTTCATAACGTTACAACTGCACCAAGCAGTGATTCCTCTCATAGATCTGGGCAAAGCTGAAAATCACCTGGATTCACTATTCTAGATGCCACCAAGAACACTTGTGCAATGGAGCAAGCTGAAACATCAACACAGATTTGGAAGAGGGAAGCTCCAACCCACGGATGACTCTGAGGCAAACAAGACGAAGAAACTGCAAACCCCGGAGAAGGAATAAATGTAGAGACTGAAAATGAGCTCAAACCACACCAATTTCATACAAAGCTGCTGGGCAAGAAGCTGCTAGTATCTACACACCATGAGACAAGTAACGGAAATAGAATGTCTATCATGTGGCCAACTTCACCGCCTTATTTCAAGAAACCCTCACAGTCACTTCAACTTCTGCCAACCACTATCCTCATCAACCAGAAACCTCCAACAGTAAGACATCTTACATGATACAACAGTATCATGTAAAGGCTCAGCGATCATTAGAATTTGTTAGCACTATGTATTTCTTAGTTCATGTGTGTTGCATTCCTTCTTACACATAATGTTATCCACAGTGTAAACATAACCTTTTTCTTTAGTTTTCTAAAACAGGATCTCACCATATAGCCTTGGCTGGTATTAAACTCAGAGATCTGCCTGTCTCTGACTCCCAAGTACTGAGATTAAAATCCTGTGAAACCACAATATAAAGTCTGGCCCCCAAACGTAACTTTTATACACAGTGAAAAACCAAAAGGTTCATGGAGAAAGATATTAATCCTATAGGTATGGTCTAGAACCAAACCTGAGTGTGTTGACACATTCACTTATCCTTTGAAAATTTTCATACCACAAAAAATGTAAAATGAAAAACTTGTCCATGTGCATACCCCTGGTATGAGTGCACACATACTTGCACTTGCACATGTGTGTGCACACACACTAAAATATAAGAAAACACACTTCAAGTGCCTTAAACTGTATCTTACAGAGAAGTCTATTCTCATTTTTATGTGATGTCCATCTCCTAGACAGTATTTTCCTAACTTTTTCCTTTTTTGTTATAGGTATCAAAAAATAAGATGACACAGATACACAGACACACAAGATAAATAATCTTTTAAAAAGATTGGAATATTTACTCTTCCTTGGGACACATAAGCACATGTAAGTGAAGAAATCCACAAGGCGCTAGGCACATAATTGAATGAAATCACCAAGGAAAGAGTCTGTGAAGAAAAGGAAAATGGTTCAGAGACCAAGGTCTGAGATACTCAGTGAGAACCCAGAGTAGATGAGCTAGCAAAGTGGGCAGAAGAGCCCCTAACAGAGAAAGAGGACTGAGACAGTATGGTGTTGGGAGCTGAGTGACTTAAGAAAGAGCCTGCAAACCAGCCATCGTGTTCTACTGAAATCAGCCATCATGTTCTACTGAGTAACGGGGATCTCCTTAACCCTAGCAATACTGAAGAATTAGTAGAGAAGGAAACCTAACTAAAATGGATTTCAGAGAAGAGTAATTGAGCACAGATAACTTTGATTTTTAAAAATAAATGATTTTGAAAGCCAAATGTACACTTTGTGGTTATTAATTTTGTACTACAAAGGTTCATTATGAATGTGTATAAATAAGCATAACTTTGAGTTTAAAATCTGTATGGAAATTTCCATTTATTATCAGACCATGAATAGCGGGAGTCTCAGAAAAAATAAAATTCAAGCCAATCTAAAACCAAAGCAAACCAACCAGAACTTTGTCTCCTGGTTACAAAACTGACTTAAAATTATTTGTACTTGGGGGTTTAGAGGCCAGTTAGTATATTTAAATACTAAAATCTATATCTACCCTCAATTAGATTTTAGTAAGTGTTGGGTGAGTGGTAAGCGTTTCAGTTGCTACTATACTCGTTACTTGGCATCGTCTACATTCTGTGGGAGGTTCTGTTTTGTAATAGGAGATGCAGTGTTTTCTAAGTGTGGATGTTGGCAGTGTGTGCAGAAAATATCCACTGTGGCTTTCTCCTCCAGATGTTTATGGCATGAAGGCTGCTCCCCTCCAGGCCACTCCTACTGAGATGAGGACATTAGCTCACCTGCCTCTTGTTTATAATAAATGTTTTCTACACCTAGCAGGCATTCTTGTCTTTAGCCTAGGCTGGCCTTGAACTCATCGTCTGTCTTACAAGTCCTAGGATTACATTGTACACCATAGTCCATCCAGTTTAATTCTTAATTGTTCAAATAATAAATAATCCTGATTGACTTTGAATGTGCTAGAAACGTTACCAACTTTCTGCTTCCATAATAGTTACTTACCAGGTTACTGCTAGGGAAGTGAATTTTGTGAAAAACCTTCTGATACACACATGAGAATGGTTTTAACCTCTAAGCTTTATAAACATCACTTTATAAACTGATTCCCAATCTATTTAAATGACTATTAATACTTACCAGGGAAAGCATCAAAAGTAATTCTGTCTCCAGGAACAGATCCATTGGGAGGGGCCAGAATTTCCACTTTCTCTGGTGAACTAGCACACATCACCATTGCTTGAGACAGTATTCCCCGCATTTTTGCAGGCTTCAGATTACAAAGTAAAACCACCATTCGATTTTGCATCTTTTCAAATCAAATGGAGAGATTTAGAATAATCACAAGTAGGATACTTCAGGCACACCAACACATTACTTATCAAATGTGCTACCTTTGTGGATGTAAGTGCCTCTGTGTAGTTAAAGTATATTTAACTAGAGAGTCTTGAATAAAAACGAAGACTGATACCTTGTATAAACAGGATAAGAAAATCCCCCAAATTGGGAAAACATGAGCAACACAACAGTAGAAAAATTTTTTCAAATGTATATGGGTATTTTGTATGTAGGTGTTTTGCCTGCAACCACTTCTGTGCCTAGTGTCTATGGAGGCCAGAGAAGGTGTCCATTCCCTTGGAACTGGAGTTGTATATGTCCATGAGTCTCCATAAGGGCACTGGGAACAGGACCTGGGGCCTCTGCAAAAAATAGACAATGTTTCAAACCACCAGGCCATCTGTCCAGCCCAGCAGAAATTTCAGCTAAATATTTACATAAAGAATAAATGAGTGAACCAGCTTGATATAAAATTTCATCTACTACCAATTGGAAATGTATAGATGATCCTCCATTTCCTTGAACAACTAGTCAAAAAGTAGGGAACTCAGGAGTTGTCACAGGATCAAATTACAACAGGCATGCATATTATTTAGGTCAGCATTACAACTAAAGCAAATGAACCAAATTTTTTGTCTACACAACTGGCCATTTCTAATACTACACAAGACTTTTCTCCTTCCTTCCCTTTTGCAGTTCTGGAGACTGAACCTGGATGTGTACAGACCTGACTGATGCTCTCTTTCTCAGCAGCCTCCCCAGGCCACTCTTAAAAAGAAACTAAGAGCTCAATAATTCAAGCACTGTATACAGCACCACAAACATTAGGGGCTACTTCCATAATTTGTTATAGAGTTAAAGAGAAATCCTGTCAATCGTCCAGAGTTTTCTCCCAATATGCCTCTCCTCTCCAGGTTTAATTAAAAGACAAAACTACTGCTTCAGGGAGAAGATAAAAGATGTATCCCAGAAGAAAGACAGCAAATTAGGTGCAAATTTATTTCTAGATCCAACAACTAAAACATGACTTGATGAATATACACTTCATGGATAATGCCCCTACTTCAGCACTTGAAAACATCACACTTTAACCATTTATAAAACCAAAATCTAGAAAGAACAGTATGTGGAATAGTTAAATGCAGCCTTTGCAGGATCTAATGGAAACAGTAGTCATTTTCATCAGAAAAATAAAGCAGACAAATGGGTGCTGGCACTTTAGACTGTGTTCCTGCCTTACAGAATGCTTACTAAAACTGTCTTGAATTTGTGGCTTAGACAGATGTTTACATAAACAGCCCTGCTTAATGGCTATGAGAATCTCTAACTCTGGAGAGCAGAAGAAACTCTTATCTGCAATTTTTCCAATATGAACTGTTTAAGACTAGAATTTTTTTTTTTTTTTTTTTTTTT